ACATCACACGTGCTAAAGAGCAAATCAAGGAAGGCCTCGGCACTTGACGCCCATGGTTGGAGATGTTCAACTTCCACTCAATTTGACTTCCCATGAATTTCCATAAAGCATTGGCCCAAATCAAAATGAACATGGCTTAGGACGAACTAAGCCATTATAGAGCTCTTGATTCTCTTCCTTGGCTAGCTTTGGCACCTAATCTCGCTACTTGTGTGTATAGTAATAATGCCATCTTGGCTTTTCTTGTATTCCTTCGTGACGAGCCGTTGATAATTTTTGGCCGTTTGATCAATAATTGGGAGGCGTTGATTAGGAAGAAAGCAGAGAAAGAAATGGAGGGAGAAGAGAGGGGGAAGGGGCGGTGGCGGTGGCGGTGGTGTTTATTTTATTTTAAAAAATTATCCTAAAATAAATCCTCACAAACACCCCTAACCTTGTCATTGTATTGCAATTTCAAAATATGTGGATTAAGCAATTTTGTATCTCATTTGAAAGTATTGTATGCAAGTTAGTTTCATTTTAGACCAAATTACCCCTCAAAAAGTTACTTTCCATCTCACTTAACGGCATAAATAGATGGAGTGACTTAAACGGTACAAATTTATTAGTTCAGTGACATTTTTGGCTAATAAAAAAGTTTAATGACCAAAAGCGACACATTGCAATAGTTTAGTGATATTTCGCACAATTTGTTCAATTACTTATTAGCAAGTTGGTATACAGGTCTCATCATGTTATAAGTAATTTAAATAATCAAATTTTACAAAATCTAAAACAAACAAGATAAGGCATCAGAGATGCATGTAATTGGTTGTTTGGACCTCCATGTATATATGTCTCTAATGAATATTATACCATTTTCATTTTCAAATTATACCATTTCAAGGGAAAGGCTGTTAAAATCTATTCCATCGTCAGATTTAGAATTCGATTCTTATACTTTGCAATTGGGGGTTGAAAGGATGCGGGAAATGATAGGAGGATTAAAAAAATACTATTTTCATTTTAACATGAACATATTTCCTTACTAGCGCTATTGTATTCTGATGAAAAAGTGAATAAATAGTGAAATTGGCTAATTCAAAAAATATATTAAATTGTAACCTCCAATCTAATTGGAATTCCTTAGCTTGACAAATGCATGGTACATATGGAATTCCAAATTTCTTGTTTGAATCAAAGAATAATTCGTTAAGATTTAGAGTTGCATATGTACATAGCTACATAAGAATTCTTTATGTTTTGCATTTAGCAACATTGTAGAAAGAAAATATACTAATTCATTCATTTTTTTTCCTAAAATAAGAGAAATCAATATGTCATGATAAAAGAGTAGAACCAGTTCAATATAGATTAAACAATTAGCTAATTTTTATCAAGTTGAAAATTTGAAACATTATTGACAGTGAAGAAAATGATAATATTTCAGAATAATGAATGAAAATACATTATTCAAATTGATGAATCTAGTAATTTTTACTATATTTATTTTCACGCCCCCTCCTCTTAACAGGCAAGCTTTCTTTATTATTCCTTGTATACCTTGTTTATTTTATGCTAATCAGTCCCGCTCAGCTAATCATGCACGATGTGGGTCTTCTTAACAAGTTTATTGCACTAACTGACCTTGAATTCCCAACCCCTCTAATGGGCTCCTTCAGCAACCTTAATGTGTATCAAATTGATGCAACCAATCAATACATTTCGTACTGGTTTAGTCAATGTAATACCATTTTCATGGTAAAAACTACTATACACACTAAAGAGGATCCGTTAAAAGGTGATTGAAAGAATGAAAATGTTTTTTTTAATTATTTTTAGAAATTATTTGAAAAAACTATGTTCACAATTTGCTATCCGAATGGAATTGTTGGTGGAATGCATGGGAATCCCTAATAAGAACTCTAATTCTTTCCTAAATAACTAGCATGTGTATGGAATGTGAAATTTAAGAACTTCATAGAACAAACTTGAAATTTTTGACAAAGCTTTAGTCATTGGTTTTCCTTGAAAATTTTAGCCTCAGTAATGGAGGAAAGCTTCTAAATTTGTCTTCTTCGGCATATTGCTAAAATCCTCACAAAGTTGCACAAAATCTTGTCTTCACATAAGTTTAAGGCCATAAAGTTAGATATAAACATATTATCCTTTCTTTCCTTTTTTTTTGGTAGGATTTTATATCCTTTCATGATTCCAGATTTGTAACTGCCAAAGAAGTATATCACCTAAAGGTTAAATTATTTACTGATGATAATGAGTGTGTTTGGATAAAGCTTTGTTTACAAATTTTTTTGATTCTATCATAAACACATTTTCAACCATTTTTTTATCTTTCTAATCACCGTTTTATCTCACATTCATCATATCACAAAAAGTGTTAACGTACTTTTTCAACATATATCTTTGTTACTTCGAATTCTAAAGGAATCTCTTCTCTATTTTGGAAAACTATCCATTCAACTGTTTTCTTTTATAGTGAATCACGTGGCAATTCAAATCCAAAAACAACTGCACTAAATAATACAGATTTTTTTTGCTATTTTTTAACTTGGTACTATGTAGAGGTGGCAAAATGGGCGGGATGGACGGAATTTGCTTGGGTTTAAGATGGAACCGAGTTATATGGGTTTGGGCCCAACCTTACCCATATATGTTTTGGGACTAACTTGGGCGGGATCACTTTGGGATGGGTTTAGATTGATCCCGCCCAATACCCAAATCTATTTTTTACATATTTTTTTCTTTAATTTATTTTTTATTTTTTATATAATTTTAATATTTTTGATTTATTAAATTTCTTTTAGTTTTATTAAATAAACATGCAAGTGCTTTATACTCAGGATTATCACCAAAAATTGGATTAACAAATAAAGGAAAAGATAGATATACAATCATGACTATAAAAATTGTTAAAGATAATTTTGAATCTAAGACTCCGTTTGGATTGACTATTTTTTCAAAAAATAAGTTTTTCAAATACAATGTTACAATAATATACAATAACTCAAAAAACATCCCATCCATATTAGTATATCAAATATTTCAAAAAAATTTATAGTAAAAATTTTTCATATACACTACTACAATAAAATATTTCAAAAACATCCCCCAAAAATAGTTAATCCAAACGGAGCCCTTGCTATTTGAGCCCAATGGGTACCCAAGCATTTTCCAAAATTACCCATCAATTAATGGGTACAATTGGGATTTGTCCCATTTTAAATCCAATATCAAATTCCAATACCCATCCCGCCCAAAGTCTCAATAGGCATGGATAACCCATTGGGACTTGGGACAAATTGCCACCTCTAGTACTATGCTCCGAAATGTTGAAACTTTAGCGTGTTTGAGTTTCAGTTTCTTTCCAAATTCTTTTCCCTCCATTCCTAATGACAAGGGTTGATTGGAACAGACCCTTCTCAAATAGAACAACAAGACAAAAAGCTAGGAGACTGCAAAATGGAGTAGTATATCCTGGGTCATTTCGATGCTCAAGTCTACAAAAATAAAGTAGGTAGATAAGAAAAGAGTGTTATATATGCTAATGGATGGTTATTAGTTAGTAGTTTGATTTTCATCGTAAGGTATTCATAGACAAGTAAGAGAGTGATACTCTTTGAAAGAAATGGCAATGTGGTCTTAACGAGTGAGTGGCCCCTTACCAAGTGGTAGGCATTGTTGGCAAGCATGTCTATTGATCATCACACATTAACAACATATCACTTGTTTACATATGTGAAGTGTTAATGTAGAATTAAACTAAGGTTTTAAAACCCAATCTGTTCATTAAATCAAAAATCTTATTGGGTCAAAGATTATTGGTTCAATCGTTTGGCTAATCGTTTTGAAGTGTTATTGACCGGTGATGTCATCAATAATTAATATGTTATTTGTATTATCGTGTTGACTAATAAAATGAATCCTATAAATCCATAACAATGGGATCATCATAAATTCATCATTTCAATGGGATGGTAATGCAATTTTACATTCGTCATATCATATGACCTTTTCTTATAGTTCCTGGATAGGATGCAAACGAGTTAAGTCGAATCAAATTTTAACCTAATCGAGCCAAGCATCAACCTAGGTTCATAAAGTTCGAATTCAACGAATTCAAAATGTAAAGTTTGAACTCAAGCTCAACTCGAATTATCAATTCAAAATGTAAAGTTCGAGCTCAAGCTCGACTCAAATTCGAGTCGAGCTTGAGTTTAAAAAAATAAAAAAAAATTATTTTATTTTTAAAAAATAAATAAAATAATAATTTTTCTTAACAAATAATAAAATATTAGAAATTTATATATGTAATTTTGCTAATAAAATAATATGTATATATATATATATATAATTGAGTTCTAGTCCACCCGCGAGCTAACGAGTTTAGTATTTTTGAACTCGAGTTTGACTTGATAAGTTCGAACTCGATGTTGATCGAGATCGAGTCGAGCTCAGATTCAAGTCACTCGAATCCGAAATTCGTTTACAGCCGTATTCCTAAGTGAAGACTGAAAGACGTTTGGAGTAAATATCTCCAGGCGCCATGCTTTGTTGGAAGTAATAAAAACATATATCTCCTTTTCCAAGTAGGTAATAGCATTCCTGATGACTCTCATCCTTTGATCCTAAATCTATTTCTACTAAAGCTAGCATTGCTTGGATCGTTTAGGACATACTAGGAGGGATTCACCATGCAAACGCACGTGGATAAATGTCCAATTATACCTACTTAATTTGTAAATTATTATAACAGTAGCATATGTGAATGATAAACAAAATATTTAGAATTGTGTTCTTAGGAAGTATATAATTAGTTCAAAATTGTAAAAATATAAAGTCCAAGAGATGATAATTATAATACCATACCTTTAAAAAATATAATAGGACATAATAAAGATATGATTAGGACATATACAACTGACCATTGACCCACCATACAAGTTATGTTGTGGTGTCCTCTATATTTATAAATGAAATCTCATACTTAAAAAGCAGCTACATTAACTAATTTGCATTACTTAATATAATTCCAAACACATTCTTAACAAATTCCTGTCATTGAGTTTTGAGGAAAGCAACCTTAGAATTCCTATACACTTTTGCTGCTAGAGAAGTCTTACAACATTATGGGATATGACCAATCAAAAGGGAAAAAAAATTCCTGCAAGAAGCACCAAGGATATATATTCTGTAATGGAACCTCTTTATTTTTTCTTTCTTTTTTGGTACATTGGAAGAGGTCATAACCTCTTAAGTAGAAACAAAATGAAGATATGCAACTCCTAACACATTTGCTCCTAACAAATCTTGCATCTTTGCTGGAATATCATCGGGGAACTTATAGTCCTGATGGATCATATGCTGCATTTGACCAACCAATTTGCACATTGATTGCATTCCCTCCAAATATATGGCTCAGCTAGTAGTCCCAGCTTCTTTGCTTTAACTCTCGGATCTGAATAGGAAGATTGTGAGCCAGTGAGTTCTAATACCTAAACTTTTTTACTAAAACTGGTGCTACTACTTTAGCTAGAACAACTAAGAAAAGGAAGGAACATGTTGGCCATGTAAGAAAAAGATCAATCAAGTGGATTTATATATACCCTCCAATGGTGAGAGCACAGATGACTAGCAACATGTCATTCACTTCATGTAAAGTGAATCTCACACCTATCATTTGGAACAACCCCATGACCACCGTGCAACAATCACTTAGTTGTTTCAAAAGATGCAAGCTTAAACTGCTAAATGAAAATGGACGTTTGCCACATGCAAAAAATTGGTCAATGGTTTCCAAACAAAATTTACTTTCAGTTTCGACATTATGCATAACTAAAAGTTGATAAAATTCAAGTGCAAACGTGTGTTCCAAAATCCAACTTGGCATGTCTTCCATATAGGAAAGCAAAAGAATCAAAAAAAATTTCTCAAGAAAGCAGGATAAATGAAAGCTTCTAAAAATTTTCAACTTAACTTTGATGCTTTTAGCCCAAGGAAAAGAAAAAATTAGAACAATTCACTAAAACAAAATACAGAAGAAACTTTTCATGGTAAGGAGAGAAAATATGATTGATATTCACAGGAGGAAGAAAGATAGCAACAGAAGAAAGAATGAAATAGAAGGGAAGAAAACATTGGAAAAAAAAGAGAAAAGATCTGTCTATAGAAAACTATAAACCTCGTAAGCAACTCAAAAACAAAAATAGGATATCACATAATTTTCTTTTACACTGCATGTTGGCCAATATTTATAGCCTCAAACCACATTGCAAAACATTTTAGCCAGAATTCCTCAAATTCAGAAAATCTCGGTATCTTATTATTTTCTTTATTAGTAAAAAGAAAATATATAACAACATTCTTTTCAGTTAAAAAAAAAATTGATGCAACGTAGACCACAAAGTCGCCAAGTAGTTTGAATTTTCATTCTAAAACAAATAGCCAATATTGAACAATACAACTACAAGTAAAAAACACAACTACATAAGCAAATGCCATAATGAGACTTCAAGAGAAACAAGAAGAGACTCACATAAGAAATTTATGAAGTATAGAGAATTATAAAGTTGATAGAATTTTGAAGAAAGTTAGAGAATGAAATCCATGAAATCCAATCAGCATGGTCCAATACATTTTAAGGAACCCAATCAGACACTCATAATATTATGCCTATTAACTCAGCATGGTCCGAACCATATTAGATATAACAAGTATTTTCTATTCTGTTAATGCTAATCGTTTCCTAAAACTTGTATTTAAAACTCAAAGATCCAGAACAACCATTTTTCTCAATTTTTCAAGAGGAAAAAAATAATAGTCAAAGTCAATCTCACCTCATAAACTTGATATTCAAGAGACAAAACAATCAACCTTAATTGTTAAAGAAAACTTTTCCACATCCAATTAGTCATCATGTAAAGCCTCAGCAGAAATAAACATATTGACCATATGGAGGATATTAATGAGTGTGTGCAATTTCTCAGTTTCCATCCAAATCATTGGTTCTACTGTCTATATTAATTCAAAGTGAACAAAGAATCAACTAATTGTACTAATTCAAGTCATCAATTTCCTTGTTTTGGCAAATACAAATCAAAATGACAACTGTTGCAGTGGAGTTTCTACTAACGAAATATGTAAAGATCATTTACCATCAATAGGAGGATCCTGCTTTACATCAATGCCATGCCGCTGCCCATGACAAGCTGGCTTCATTAAATGTGGATTTTTTTTAGTTAGTACTATAGATGAAGTGCTAAGCAATTGAGCAGTTATTCAACATTTTCCTAAGTAACCTTTCTTCACGGTTGCACGCTTTCAATAATTTTTTTTCACCTATCATTCAACAAGACAATGAGAAAAGGCTGATGCTTAAGGGAGATATTCTACCCAAGCAAAAATAGTACCTATTATGAATGCAAATGACCTACTTTAGCTAATTAATCAAAATTGAATGAAATTCATGTTGTAAAGTTTAAATCATCTAGAACCAGAAAGCAATCACCAAAAAATGAAATTGCTTGGATGAAGTGGAAGATGTCGAAGATCCATTTATCTTTCACAAAAAGGAAAGAATAATTGAAGGTTTATTGAAGAGACATGGAGGAGGAAGTAGTTTGGGATAATTTTTGAGACGGTATGGGAGAGAATGGAAAAAAGGGTTCCAAAGGAAACTTGAGGGATGGTTGCCCCGAGCACAAAAAAATCCGTAACTCCCCTCAAAGGAAAGCAGAAGAAGCAGCGTTCACTGCAACAAAAAAGGAGATATTTTAGTGTAACCCACTATGTCATACACAAAGTAGAGGAATAATTTAAAAAAAAAGAAGTCACGTGGGTTTCACATGAGTGACGAACACATTTCCACCAATGGCATGGTGCCATATCATCAGACGACCACTCCTTTAACAAAGTGCATTCCCCCTTTTATATACATGTTAATTACTGTAATAATAAGGCTGTGTGTTGCATTCACATACTCAGTCAATTTGTACTTTATAAACCGCTCAACTTTGGTTCAGTGGACAGCAAAAAGGGATTTAAAGGAACAAAATCTCTCTTTGAACTGCAGGTCGGGATTCAAACTCCACTTGCTTTGAAAAAAATCTAAAGAGGCGTCAAAGTATCCCTTTTATCTAGTCAAGTCTGTATACCTGTTAACTTTTTACACAATTTCTTTAATCTCTTCCTCCTTGTAGAATAAGATAATTTAAGTTATAGGAATATTATCGTCGTGACGGAAAAAAATTGTGCTTTATCATCATTTCAGATAGAGGCTCAAGCATGTCTGAGTGCACTTAGCTGGCTATGACCCTTTGCATAGCCCAATTATGCATCTTCAGTTTTCTCTGTTGCTATAGGTTGTCTTCTACTTTTGTTGTACTGCGTTAATATTCCAGCCGCTCCTTTGGCAGTTGTCTCTATTTTGAAGGACATCATCATGTTATCTTCTTTCCTTTATAAGCTTTCTATTGTTAAAGTTGATAGAATATTTGTAGATAGAGCACACGACTTGGCTGTTTCCACCAGGACCATGTAATATTAATTCTGTGTGAGTGTATATTAGTTATTTTTTTAAAAAAAACAACATATCACTTGTTAACATGTGTGAAGTGTTAATATAGAATTAAACTAAGGTTTTAAAACCCAAATCATTCATTAAATCGAAAATTGTATTAAGTCAAGGATTATTGGTTCAATCGTTTGGCTAGTCATTTTTGAAGTGCTATTGACCGTGATGTCATAATAATTAATATGTTATTTGTATTATCATATTGACTAATCAAATGAATCTTGTAAATCCATACTTAGTTAATCAATGGGTGAGATTAGAGTATTTTGTTCATTATTGATGATAATAACTTAAAAGTTGAAATAGTAATACAATATCAACTAAATAAATATATTTTTGCAATCACAACACATTCAAGAGCTTAGGAGAAAACTAGTAACAAACATACGCACTAAACAAAGAAAACAAAAAAAAACTAACTTTGATAAATCATGAAAATTTAATTATACAAAAATAAAATTACTCATGAATTTATGAATAAGAAATGAAAAATTGCATAAAAGTAAGCTGCAATGTGGATAGTTTAATTTTTAAAATAGTCTAGTTGATAGAAGGTATGAAATTTAGTAAGAAATTTGAAATTTTTAAACAATTTAGAATTAAAGTTAAACTACGATTTTGAAAAGATCAGACGACACAAAACTAAACTATTACACAAATATTGGGCAGCTAAAGAAGAGAAGATTTAATAGCTAGTAGGCATAGTAGGCATTGCATTAAAAAGGCTGGTAAGCGTCAATGGTGTCGCTTTTCAGACGATGTCAAGGTGGGCAATGAGTTTTGTTTGGACAAAAAAGAGAATTGGGGAAAAAAAATTTTGCCTCACAAATCCCAATTACTTTTTTATCTTCTTAATCACCTTTTTATCTCACATACATCACATCACAAAAAGTACTACAATAAATATCTCAAATAAATCATCCAAATAAACTCTTATCCAAACAAACTCAATATTTTTTCAAATAAGCGTAAGAAGAGACGGTTTAAACATCTGGTTCAATGGTTCCTTGCTCGAATCGGACGATTTCTAGTTTTTAAAATGGAAAATTGCAGAAACCTTCTCTGAGATTTTTGACACTTGCACTCACATCCCCTGTAGTTTAAAAAATTGCACTCACCTTCCCTGAACTTACTGATTCTTTGCATATTCAGTCCAAGCGATTAAAATATTGTTTTAGGGAGTGAAATGAGAAATTTGTGCCAGATTTGCCTTTTGTGCTACATGCCAAGTAGTATTAGCAAAGGAATAACAAAGTACTACAAATTAATTAACAATTAATAAATTTTAAGGGGTATAGTTTATGGGTAAATAGGTATTACCTATTCAAAGTACCAATTTTTTATGGATATTTTAATTTCAAACATTTAATTTATGATAAATACATCAATGTTTGTAAGTAAAATTCAAAAAGTGTTACAATAATATTCTTACAAAAATGAAACCAATAGGTCATATATTTAATATAAATTAAATATTTTTAAAAAAAGAAATAGCCCATAAAGTATTAATTCTTTATGACTTTCCTCCATTACATGAATAAAGTATGTGCTTTTTATGGGCATTTTATTCTGAATCATTTAATTTATGTTAAATACATAAATGTTTGTAACTAAAATTGAAAAAGTGTTACACTAATATTTTTTACAAAAGGAAACTGGTAAGTTTTGTATTTAACCAAAATTAAATATGTGAAAGTAAATACAAATTTAAATGTGATACCTTTATCAGGCAATTTAAATTTTAAAAAAGATTTGTATTTTACCTTTATTCATGTGATATGGCCTCAAAATCTCTATCAGGCAATTTAAATTTTAAAAAAAGGTTTGTATTTTACCTCTATTCACGTGATATGGCCTCAAAATCTGAAACCTCTATTTAAATTTGTATTTACTGTCACATATTTAATTTTTTTTAAATACAAAACCTACTAGTTTCCCTTTCATAAAAATATTAGTGTAACACTTTTTCAATTTTAGTTACAAATATTTATGTATTTAACATAAGTTAAATGATTCAAAATAAAATACCTATAAAGAGCAATACTTTGTTCACGTAATGGACGAAAGCTATAAAGAATTAATATTTTATGGGCCATTTCTTTTTTTTTTTAAAATATTTAATTTATATTAAATATATAACCTATTGATTTCCTTTTTGTAAGTATATTACTGCAACACTTTTTGAATTTTACTTACAAACATTGATGTATTTATCATAAATTAAATGTTTGAAAGTAAAATGCCTATAAAGAGCTGGTACTTTGAATAGGTAATGCCTATTTGTTCATAAACTATACCCCTTAAAGTTTATTAACTGTTAATTGATTTGTAGTACTTTGTCATTCCTTTGCTAATACTACTTGGCATGTAGCACAAAGGGCAAATCTGGCACAAATTTCTCATTTCACTTCCTAAAACAATATTTTAATCGCCTGGACTAAATATGCAAAGAATCAGTAAGTTCAGGAGAGGTGAGTGCAATTTTTTAAACCACAGGGATGTGAGTGCAAGTGTCAGAAACCTCAATGGAGGTTTCTGCAATTTTCCCTTTTAAAATTTACAACACTTCTTTGACTCTTCTATATTTTAGTTAGGAAAATTTGTCAAATTGTTACTTATATTTTCAAAAAAAAGAAAAATTTTAGTCTCTCAGATTTAAAATCAATCACAATAGTCCTTAGATACAAAAAAAAAATCCACCTAATTGGTCCCAAAACTCATTTTCGCTCATTTTTTCTGGACAAATAGTGCATGCCTCTCTCCCATACCCATAATTTCAAGGGCAAAAATGAAATACACTGACACCGGAGATTTTAAGAAACACATAAGCTACCAAAACCTTAAATATAAATCTCAATTAAACAAGGGAGATTTTAACTTTTTCATTCTTCAATATCATGCCGACAACAACGTTTGTGACTAAGTTAAAAAGATCATATCGCTTTTACATTATATGCTCCGTTTCCTCTTTAGACTACAATTGAACTCTTATTCAACATAATCAGCAAAATGCACTTTCAAGAAATAAGCAAAGCAGTCCAATGTAATTTTTCTTTTCAAATTCTTCTTTCTTGCTCAATTTCCAGCCAATTGATAGTCTTTAACAAGCCAAGTATTATTGATACCGATCTACTGCACATTGGGGATCATACTACTTGAAATAGCGACGAGCATAATTCACCTAAAATGCAAGAGCATCACATATTAACACCCAATTTTCACCTCCATATTAAGAACCAATTTTTTCCAAGACAACCAAAATGAAATGTGCTCAGACTTACTTCATAGATTGGGTAGCCATAGAATCTCCCTCCGAATTTGCAAGTCTTCAAGAAGTCATAATTATGGGCTCTTTGCTACAATGATGTCAATCATTGTTTACTTCTATTGTACTTTTAAATGGTTTAGATATCTTTTCTTACTCTTCTTCTACTATTTGTAGGTGACCATAATAAAATTTTCTTCTTTGATTAGGGGCTTGATGGCTTACAATTAGGGTTTTGGTAGTTGAAAAAATGGGGGAAAGAGGAGAAGAAAGGGTTTGGTAGCTTACATTTTCTTCTTCTTCTTTTGTTTTTTTCAAAAAAAAAGAGGAAACGAAGTATATTTTCATTTTTGTCCTTAAAA